CTTAAGAAAGGATGAGGTCATGTCTTTTGCAGAACATACATGGAACTGGAGGCTGTTAACTTAAGTGAAACAAATTAGACCCAGAAAGACAAATACCACACGTTCTCACTTATAAGTGGGAGATAAATAATGTGTACAGTGGACATACAATGTTCAATAGCAGACACTGGAGACTTGGAATGATGGGAGGCTGGAAAGGGGGTGAGGGATGTGAAACCACATAATAGATAAAATATTATTTGGATGATGGTTACACTGACTGCTCAGACTTCACCACTACACAACCTATCCATGTAACAAAACTGCACTTGTACCTGTTGTATTTGTACAAATAAAAAAGGGGAAAAAGATTATTTCTTAATCAAATTACTTGTTTAGGGGCCTCTAAGGAAAACAACTTTGCATCCAACAGTTGGGCAGCACTGTGAAAAAAAATTATTCTTCAAGGACATAGTTTATAGAAGGCTACAACAAAAGACATTTAAAGGCTATTGTATCTATGTTATGATGGAGGTCTTTGCAATCTGTGTCACAATGATTAACTTTGAGAATTTTACTGTAGTCAGCGATATGGTTTGGATCTGTGTCTCATCAAATCTCATGTCAACTTGTAATTCCCAATGTTGGAAATGGGGCCTGGTGGGAGGTGGTTTGATGATGGAGGGTAGATTTCTCATGAACTGTTTAGCAACATCTCCTTGGTGTTGTTCTTGTGCAAGTGAGTGAGTTCTCATGAGATCTGGTTGTTTAAAAGTGTGCAGCATCTCCAGTCAATGGAATATTGGAGTATACATGTCAAAGTAAAGACCAGTATTACCCTTTAGGAATATTCTTGGTTCTCAAAATAATTTTCCAACAAATACAAAGTTCCCTAAACATGGTCCTCTAAGTCTGCTGTTTCAAGTGTATTCCCATTATATCTGTCATAGCAAGGTTCAGCCCAAGTCCCAAATTCTTATTGCCCTGGAAAACTGAGACAATATTTACATTTTATGTGCAGAAAAGGAGATTCTGATATCTTCACTTGGATAAAGAAACAATGGAAAACATTTAATTTTCTTTTGTTACTTTCCTCTGTTACTTTAAAAATAACTCCCTTATTATGGTTTTCCAGAATTTGAAGAAAGTATACATATTCACTCAACATACCATGAAAATTTCATAGACTTTGAGCATGTACCTGCCCAGATATTATCTTGCCATATTAAAGTCTGCTAATTAAAAAAAAATCTTTGTTCTTATTATAATTCTCTTTTTCTTACTTTCCTTGGTATATTAGACATTTACAATGGAACATATGTTTGTTATGTACTCTTTGAGATGTGACTATGACCCTAGGTGATGATTACACAGTCTTAAGGTTCACCCATTTAGAGTTTGGTCCATCATTGATTGATTGATGATTAAACACATTTATGTGTAATATGATGTGTCCATCACTGTTCTAAGTTTTGGGGATACAAAGATGAATAAAACAGGCAAGATTCCCACTTTCATGAAGCTTACATTATATCTAGTGAAACAGATAACCAACAGGTTAAATAAGTAAATGAGATATTATCAGACAGTGATAAACTCCATGGAGAAAATACCACAAGATAATAGGATAGAGAATGATTGGAAGAAGACGTCATCAAAAGCATCTTCTCTGAAGAGGTGACATTTGTGACGAAATCTGTAAAGTAGGAAAAAAACAGCTACCACATTGTGGAGAAAAGCAGTTCAAACAAAGGGGAAAGGGAACAGAACTTGTAAAGGACTTGAAGCTGGAAGAAAGTCAGCATGTCTGAAACAGCACACTACTAAATTTGATTATGCACATTTGATTATGAAGATTTTGAAAATCCTATTGTCAGATATCTTTATGAAGAAACTGAGATCCAGAGAAATTACTTGATTTGTGTGAAGTGCCCAAAAAGTCTAGCAAAACTAGAACCAACTCTGTTCTTCTGATTCTATCGAATACTTCCCTCTTACTATCCAGCAATAAAACTCAGTGACTCTTTAGGACCTTAAAGAAAATGAGTGGAGAATTAGAAGATACTTAGGAGGACAAGTATCTATTCATTTAAACAATGTCACACTGCTTTCAATAACTTATTAGACTAAGGGTTTAACATTTTTCTAAAGATTAAAACTAATGAGAATGATCCCATTTCTTAGTATATATACAAAGGAAATGAAATCAGCATGTTGAAGAGATGTCTGCACATCCATGTTCATTGCAGCACTGTCCACAATAGCCAAGATATGGAATCAATCTAAAAAAGGCAGTTACCAGAGTCCGGAAGCTGGGGAGGGATGGAGAAAAGGGAGATTTTGATCTAAGGATATAAAGTTTCAGTTAGACTTGAAGAATAAGATATACTGATCTATTGTACTATATGGTGACCACAGTTAATAATAATGTACCATGTATTTCAAAATTGCTAAACGAATAGATTTTAAACATCCTCACCACAAAAAAATAATAAGTTGGTGAGATGATGGATATGTTAATTGCTTGATTTAATCTTTCTACTGTATACAATAGTCTTCCCTTTTTCATGTTATGCTATCTGAGGTTGTGGTTACCCATAGGCAACTGAGGTCTGAAAATATTAAATAGAAAATTCCAGAAATAACTCAAAAGTTTTAAATTGTGTGTTGTTCTGAGTAGCATGATGAAATTCCCCAATCCAGGATGTCAATCATCCCTTTGTCCAGCATATCCACATGGTATGTGCTACCTTCTTGTTAGTCACTTGTTGTCTCATGTATAAGATCAACTGTTGCTGTATCCCAGTGCTTGTGTTCAAGTAACCCTTATTTTACTTAATAATGGCCTCCAAAGAGCAAGAGTTGCAATGCTAGCATATTGTTGTAGTTGTTCTGTTTTGCTGTTATTGTTGTTAACCTTTTATTGTGCCTAATTTAAAATTAAACTTTATCATAGGTATATATGTATGAAAGAAGCAGCATATATAGGGTTCTTTCTATCCATGGTTTTGTGCATTCACTGGGGGTCTTGAAATGTATCCCCTTTAGATAAGGGGGAACTACTGTATACATATCTCAAAAGACCACGATGTATCCCATAAATATATGCAACTATTTATCAATACAAATTAAAACACACAATGAGAATTTCTTGAAACTAAATATATATTGTATTTAAGACTCAGTTGATGGCTTTATGTTTCAAAGCAATATTTCACATGACGAGTTTCTATTTCCCTTTTGTTTTTTTTTTTTTTTTGAGATGTAGTCTTGCTCTGTTGCCTAGGCTGGAGTACAATGGCACAATCTCAGCTCAGTGCAACCTGTGCCTCCTGGGTTCAAGCGATTCTCCTGACTCAGCCTCCCAAGTAGCTGGGACTACAGGTGCACACCACTGCCCTGGCTAATTTTTGTATATTTAATAGAGAATGGGTTTCACCATGTTGGCCAGGCTGGTCTTGAACTCCTGACCTCACATGATCCTACCATGACCTCCCAAAATGCTGGGATTACAAGCATGAGTCACCGTGCCCAGCTGATGAGTTTCTATTTCTATAGTTAACTATTGTTACAAGCCTTTCCTTAGAGTTTGGTATAGAAGAAACATTATACCATTGAGATTTAACTTACATCAGATTCTTTGTCATCTTCTGGGCTGTGATGGTTAGTTACATGCGTTATCTTTGCTAGTCTAGACACTCCTGTGAGATTATCTTTTAGATGAGATTAATATTTAAAGCAGTAGATTTGGGTAAGCAAATTACCCTCCATAATGCTAAAGGTTCATGGTGTGATGTGGCAATAGGGATATGCAAAACATCACGATTGGATACATCCAATCAAATATTTGTAAGAGGCAAAGTTCTGGGTGAATGTGCATATAATACTTTCACATACTTTTATCAAACTAGTGAGTATAATGAAATGGACTAGCTGCTTCTATTACATAATTTCACTAGACCAAGTGGAAAAGAAAGGATGAGTTCAGGAGTTCAAATTCTAAGCTCAAGCACTGCATAAATGGTGTAAAAACTTGTATGTCTGTCCTCAAAGTGACCTATATCTCTTGTAGTGGTAGAACTGAGGTTTCTGATAACCAAATGCAGAATCTCATGCTGTGAATTGGTGATTTACAATGCATATTGAATTCCCATCCTTGCAGGATGTGTACTGTTAAAGCAAGGGCAGGAATTGAGAAGAAATGGGCTCTAGAAAATTGAAATGGGGACATATGAGATGATTCTGATGAAGGTGGGAGTATAGAACCCCTGAATTCTGGTCAGTCTTTTGCCAGTAAAGCAGCCACTTCATCCTTGACTGAGATTAACTCTACTTTTTCACTAATGGCATCCCCTGAGGTAATTGCCTTACAGGACAATAGGACCCACTCCTACAACTCCTCTTTGCTTTTATTTATTTACTTTAGAGAGGGTCTCACTCTGTTGCCCAGGCTGGAGTGCAGTGGTGTGATCCCGGCTCACTGCAGCTTCGACCTCCTAGGCTCGAGTGATTCTCCCACCTTAGCCTCCCAAGTAGCTGGAAATACAGGCATGTGCCACCATGCCCGGTTACTTTTTATATATATTTTTGGAGAAATGGGGTTTCACCATGTTGCCCAGGCTGGTCTCAAACTCCTGGGCTCAAGCGATCCACCCACCTTGGCCTCCCAAAGTGCTGGGATTACAGGTGTGAGCCACCACACCTGACCCCTCTTTGCTTTCACCCCCACAGTCACATGAACCAATTTCTTAAAATAAATTTTTCCTTTTATATTGCTTTAGAGGAAAGGTAAAATTATAAATTTGGAGTTAAGTGAACGATAGCGTCTACACTTTTTGGAGTTTTAAGGTTTTGGGAGACCTTTTTTAAAAATGAGAATGATCTGTAGCAACTAAGTGCATTAGGCACAGAGAATTAATCAAAGTCCAAATTCTGATACAATGAAGGCAAATCTAGCATTTGGATGGAAGAGTTTTACCGTTGTCCCATGCCCAGGTGCCCCTTTCGGTCTCTCAGAGCCTTCAGAAGGACTCAGATGTCCCTTTGGTACTAATCACTTTTTTCAGGGCACCTTTGACATCCTTGTTCCTAAGGGTGTAAACCAAAGGGTTGAGTAATGGTGTGATAAAGGTGTAAACAAGGGCAAACTGGCGGTCTTCATCTACAGAGGAGCTGGACTGGGGACGCAAGTATACCAAGGCACAGCAGCCATACTGCAGCAGGACCACGGTAAGGTGGGAGGAGCAGGTGGAGAAGGCCCGGCGGCGGCCCTCGGCAGAACGAATGTGCAGGATGGCGCAGGTGATGAATACGTAGGAGACGCAGATGCACAAGAAGGGGACGGTTAGCACGAGGATGCTCACGACGTAGAGGACAGCCTGGTGCACGTGGATGTCGGTGCAGGACAGGCACAGGATGGGAGGTACATTGCAGAGGAAGTGGTTAATTTCCCGGCGGTGGCCGCAGAAGGGCAGGGTGAAGATTAAGGCAGTGAACTGCAGGGAGAGGAAGAAGGCCAGACCCACGGCGCCAAGCAGCTTCTGCACACACAGCATGCAGGTCATGTTGGTGGCAGATGGCCACATAGCGGTCATAGGCCATGATCGCCTAGAGGAAACAGCACCACCAAGTGTGAGAAAGAACATTTGGGCCCCACATCCAGCTAGTGGGATGGGCTTCTGGGCCCCAAAAATGTTGGAAAGCATCAAGGGCACCACAATGGTGGTGTAGCAGATCTCTACAAAGGGCAGGTTGGACAAGAAGAAATACATCCAGGTTCGGAGAACGCTGTGTAGGCACACAACCCAGATGATGACTGTGTTGCCACAGAGGATCATCAAGTAGAGAAGGAAGAAGAGAAGGAAGAGAAGAACCTGAAATTCAGGGACTGTGGTGAACACATGGAACACAAACTCAGTGAGACTAGACCGGTTGAAGACAGGTTTCCATGCAAGCACATCTTGTGCAAAAGGATAGGAAGCACTGAGCCTTCCTTGACTGAGTTGCTTTATTGCCTGAGTAAAATAAAGAGGGAGGACTTTGTTTCTGAGGTGGGAAATACCTAACTGTCATTGAGGTTCTTTTTTTTTTTTTGAGACAGGGTTTCACATTGTCACTCAGGCTGAGTGCAGTGGCGTGATCACAGTTCACTGCGGCCTCTACTTCCCAAGCTCAGGTGATTCCTCCATCTCAGCCTCCTGAGTAGCTAGAACTACAGGCCCATTCCACTATTCCAGTTAATGTTTATATTTTTTGTAGAGATGGAGTCTTTCTTTCTTGCTCAGGCTGGTCTCAAACTCCTGGGCTCAAGCTATTCTCCAGCCTCAGCCTCCCGGAGTGCAGGGATTACAGGTATGAGTCACTGCACCCAATCTGATACTCTAATTGTAATTAAAAATAGGGAATTATTTTCCTCTGAAATCTTCATGTGTATTTTCTTGAAGAGAAAGAAACAGATTTCTAAAGTGTTTCAAGCATTACACTTTAAAATATAAGTTTAGAGGGCGGAGCAAGATGGCCGAATAGGAACAGCTCCAGTCTCCAACTCCCAGTGCGAGCGACACAGAAGACCGGTGATTTCTGCATTTTCAACTGAG